GACCAATTTTTGAATCGCTTCCACTTGCCACCATCATTCCATGAAGGGAGTTTTAGAAGTCAAGCTTGGCCATATTCTCTTTATGCTCTAATTTCGAGAGGCGAAGAGTGAACTGAAGCAAACAATAGACACCAAACCACTCGGCAACCTCAGAAGTTCGCAGACATGAAGCTGGATGTTACGGTCTTGCTTTTCTCCTCTTGCCCAGACCGACATGATCACAAAGAATCAACCCGAAGAGCACCGCCCTCCCAAAGTGTCTCTCTGTGCCCTGTCCAAGCGTTTCCAAACTCTCCGCCACTGTCGGTGCAGGCCATTTATGTGATTCTCAATGGCAAGTCGCCCCCAAAAAATGTCTAGTGACAACTTTGAACTTTGATGCCCATTTGGGTGGCTGCATCAGAGGCGCCTTGCCGGGCCATCAATGCCCTGAGGACGGTAGGGAAGAAGAGAGAGATATTGGCGGGGATACAGACCAGCCTTGTTGTTCCTTAAGAAAACAGTGAATGCATAAAGGGGCGGCTTCAGAAGGGAGACAGAAATGCACTGCAGTCCCATTGAATGCAGTTTATCAGCTTCCGTTTATTTTCCAAAACTGCCCTTCTATCGGACATTCATCTGGAATTGAAGAAAGACGGCAACTGCTGGTCTCGACCGCAAAGTTGACAGCCGGCTTCGTATCAACCTAAGACTATATACATTTAACTTATGCGCGTGTGTTCCCATGTCTGTCGGTGCTCGCCTGTGTTTGTTTATTCATTGTCATGTTGATGAACTCGAATGACGGCAGGTTTTAGCATGATTTATCAAAATCAAAGGGTACAGCTGCGTTTCGACAGAATATACTTCGAGGCTGACGTAGGATGCCGGGCCAACTATTAATCATAACACCGGGAGCCTCTGCTGCAGTCGAGTTGAAACGTTTTCGACCACTTCCTCGGCCTCAACTATTTTCAATCGTTTGTCGGGTCTTTGATTTTCGTGCTGACATGCTAGATAAATATGTTTTAATGAAGCCCCCTTCGGTATACTGTCAAGTAGACTTTCTAAATGATCCCTCTTGGCGATCGCATGGAACAAATGGGAATCCCAGTCCAAATGTGGGTTCTACTGACGACAGAGGGGAGGATCGTTCATTTTATTCCCTACCGATTCCATTACAGACAGAAGGGAAACATGCCCTATTCGGAACTTTGTTTGAAATTCCATGTGCCGACTGGACAGGGTCTTATAACTGATGCTACTGAACTGTATGCCATCTCTTTTCCCAACAGAAGAATGATGATATTCGGAT